GACCAAAAATGTAGAATTCAGTGATTTCACAAAAGTCTCCTTCTCATCCAACTCCCTGAAGATCTCCATGATCTCATCCTTGATGAAATGCCAACACTTCTGGATGAACCCCAAGTTAAACCCATCCGGACCTGAAGATTTATCTTTATCGCACTGCATTAGCCCTTCCCACACTTCCTCCTCAGAAAAATCCCTCTCAAGTTGCTCTATTCTTCCCTCATCCAACTCACTCAACTGAAGGGAAGAAAGAAAAATTTACAAGAAACCCTGAAAAGTATGATACCTGAGTTCCCAATTCCCATGTGATACTGTCTGCATAGCAAAAATTTATACTAAGACCATTTTATCTTTTGATATAATTTTTTGTATTCTAACCAGTAGAAAATGTAATTTAATGATTAAGCAATGAAACTTTGTTCTACATTAATTACAAATAAATAAAATTCATTAATTATAAGCTGAGCAAATTACTAATAATACAGATGCTTATGCTGTGAATCAAATTTATAACTAACTGTAGTGACCAAATTATTAAAAAGAGATGCTTATGCCGTCAAGCAAATTATTAATCAAATTTTCAAATTAAAAAATGAAACATTCACAACATAAGCATCTTCCTAACTTAAAATGGAAGGCTTTGAAATCTCAAAATCCTGACCTGGAAGCGCCACAGACTGACGAAAGTCAAAGAAGAAAACTAGTGAAGTTTAAGAAGATATAAAAGATGCTAGATCACAGACAATATGATGCTTACTTTATATAAGTTGTTTAGACCATTCCATCCAGTTGAGACTCCAAATTCATATCCATGAGTCCGATGATAATATGCATCAATTTCATCAAAATAATCGCTGAATCTGAATAATCCACGTATAGGGTATATCTCGGCATCCTGAATTACTTCCTTCAGAACCTCAGGTCCCAAATACATAAGCACCTATATAAGAATTTCTTTTGTAAATAGTCAATATTGTTGCAATGTCTGAAGAAGAACTACATATGTACTGGCTAATGAAATGATCCTTGTGAGAATCGACACATATATGCATCGACGGTGTGTATGAGACTTGCCTAAGCATCTACTCAGAAACAAATGTAACAATTTTTCACAAGTCAGCTGTGCCATCTATCAAACATTTATACATCTAATAACCACTTCATTGACAATAACAAATCACACATGTTTGGTTGAGCAAAAGCCAAGCCAGGCAAATAACAGAGTTTCCAGATTCATTTAAATGCAAATGCTACAAAGAAACAGCTACTCATTAAAGAAGGGGGAGCAGGGACAATAGATGCAACAAAATTTGTTTCTATCGCAGCTAATCTGAACTAACTTCTTATCTGACCTCATTTGCATCTTTGCAAAACCCATCCTTGTTTTTCTTAGGCCATTTGACTCGCCAACATCTGCCATAGAGAACACATAGTTATTCTTTAATATAAAAACAAAAAGCTTAGAGGATTCCTTCCATGTATAAAGTTAAAAACCTTTCTTTCCCAAGGCGGCGTGCTAGTTCTTCAGCTAATGCTTGACCAGGCTCATCCCCATCAGTTGCAAGAATAATGCGAGATGCCTATCAATACCAACATCTTTTATAAACAAAAGGCCTCTTGTTTTTATGCCTGAACTAATATTTTACTTTAAGCAATAAACTTATCTACCTTCTTTAGGTATTCTTTGCAGTTCCACAAATACTGATACTTTGTGTCCTAGCTTTATGAAACACGAGAGAAGTGTATTAAATCCAGGTCATTAGAAGTAATGAAGTCAACATTATTTTTCCTTCTCAAGAAGACAAAAATGAACCAACAGTAATCATGTTATCATGTAATGCCTTTATGGCTGCAAATAGAGCCAAGCTGAGGTTAAGGCAATTTGTTTCTATTTAAACCATTTTGCAACAATGTGAAATCATTTTAACACAAAAATGAATACTTTCCAATTAAATCTTTTTTATTTTGTTATTTTCCTCAAAATAATTCTGGACAACAGAAATAATGTTGTGTTTGTTTTAGTTTAATGCAATCTCCCTCACCAAATCATGAAAAATATCCTCTCAACAATTGGAAATGAAGACAGCAATCAATGTGAGAAGAAGTGATTCAAACCCATTCACCAACCAGGTAAATTGAAGAGTAGAGAGGAAATCTCTGGCTCACTCCAGAATAAGATTACTGCAACCCCTCCTTATTCACAATCATCCTGTTCTCCCTACAAGCATTCTTATCAACCCCATTACAACAAAAAGGGATGGCACAAACCCAACACAAAAAAGAGCTCCTTCTGGGGAAAGAAATATTTGCAAGTGAAAATCCCTAAAGAATTGAAAGACCAAACTCTATGGTAAGGGATAGGGAAAAAAAAGTTGAAAGGTTCATTAGATCAAGCAAGAAAAGCACATCTGTAGTTGCTTGATCATTAAGAAGGTTTCTAAAAAGAACAGGTTCCAAGAACAGTCCCACTTGTGTCTACTACCAATTCTATTTGATCTGGAATCCCGAGTCTTCTAAAATTAGGGTCATAAATTCTGATCAACTTTGTTATTATTATATTACAATCCAAAAATTGCAAAAACAAATATGGACACCAAAAGAGAAAACTAAGCCACCAACAAAAGGAACATGTCTTTTCTTTTCTTCTACTTTTTTATGGTGTCTTTTTCATGCTTTGTCTTCATGACTAGTACTAGAATACAAATAGTTCCTTATCCTCATTCTCCCTAGTTTATTTCTTTCTTAACAAAATCTATTTTCCTATAAAAAGCGAACAAATATAGTTCTTTAAAAAAAAGTACTAGAATGTAAAAAATAAGAATAGGTATTTTATTATATTCTATCACTAAATTCTGTAATTTCACATGGTTCTAGATCCAGTATCAAAAGTTTAATACTTAATGCCCAGTTCTATTTAATTTAAATTTAAGCATAAAATATAGTGAACCTATACTATCTTCATGTTTTCAAATAAATAGGCTTAACGGTGAAGAGGCAAATTATAATACAATATAAAGTTGGATACTTTACTACTAGTTGAAGTTATTTGGGTAAATAATCACCCAATTCCAATATTTCACAACTAGCATTTTACTTTCAGATGTTAGCTTTAAGAAGATACATGCCAACCCAGCAATATATTTACTTTTAGTGTAGCTTTGTGGATACTCGTAAATCTATCCGTCAGGTAATCCCTGCATATACACACACAAGATATGAGTGGTTGAATATCTATAAATCCCTTATATGTTGGCCCTTTCCTCTTGTCTCTTGTTTTTCACTTGTTGTTCTTTTCTGTTTCTTCTCTCTTAGGAGGGTGCCTTATCCTCTCATATTATAACTTTTTCTTCCCTTCTTAACTATTTCCCCATTTATAAATTTCTCTCAATTCATAAAAGATGGAAAGCCAGAAGTACTGACGACAACACAAACCAACAGTTCTAAGGTTTGAGAGGAACCTTATCTTCAGCTGGTAGTTCCTTTTTGGACACTGATGGTGGCGCTCCATCAGGGACACTTACACAGTTACGGAAGCCAGCTTCTTCCATTGAAAGCTTGTCTATTTCTCCCTCAACCTATATTATAAAATATGTATAATAAAACAAAGCAGTAAATATAAAGTACGTCATTGTGACAAGAATGCAGAAAGAAGGAAAGACATACAATGATGATATCATCCACTTTCTCTATGTCATCCAGTCCATATAATATCTTCTCAGCATCTTTTTCCTAAACAAAAGAATAATACGGTTACCAATAGTTATTTCTAAATTAAATGTAGAAATCTGAAAGAAATTAGCAATATTGTGAAAGAAATCATGCAAGGACTGCAACACAACACCCATCCGAATCTGAAGTCTATATGATCAAATGTAAAACATTAAACAACAATGTAGTTATAGACTAAGCTAAAACAAAAGCAACAAATGTTACTATGGGTTCAGTTCTCACGGATCTCTCTCTAATATAGGAATCAATCTTATTGATGACAATAACTATTTCCAGCGTTTGCCAGATAATGACCTAGCTGACGAGTATTTGGAACCATTAGAAAAGAGTAAATGCTTTAACAGTAAATTTTATTATTAACTGTTAAAGCATTGCACATTTAATTGAAGGGCATGAACTAATTTGTGGACCTGCCAAAACCTCTTGTTAAGATCCCGGTACTTGCAGTTTACAAGCAGTTTCTTCCGTCGATAAGTAAATGCAATAGCAATCTGCACATAACGACCATAAACATTTATTTAATAGAAAAACATGGAATCATGATCCTGAGAAATCAATTTGCAGTCCATTAGGTACCTGATTATCAACTTTTTTCTGCATAACACCATTTCTCTGCAGTGTCTCTGCTGATATCATTCGAACAGCAAAATACTCACGAATCTGATAAATTGGCAACAAAAAGTTATGTTAAAATATGAATCCCACACAAGCAAAAAATGTAATAGCTATTGAGTAATTAAACAATAAAAATGTAACGTGTATTTCCATTTATGTGTTCTTTTTCAACTTCTAATACAAGAGTCTTCGTCACCAGCTTTATATCATCATATATTAAGGTCTACTTCTATACCGTCAAGTCTCCGGCACGCACATCAAGTGTCGAGTACAAATCCCATACCCACAGCAATTTTCCTTGCGTCCGGTCAAAGGATGGCACTCATATTAAAGAGTCCAAAGAACTTAGATACAAGTTTCTTCCAGACTGCATCACTATGTGTGAGAAGAAGTTTACACATGCAAAGAATTTACATGCTAGTAAATCATATTTTATATAAAGGCTCTGTTTGGTTGTGCTTTGGAAGTTGCTTTTTCTCAAATAATCTAGCTCTTGAAGAATTAGTGTTGGTTGAGCGCATCTTAATTGCTTTTTTAAAATTTATAATCAATAAAAGCAAATATAGTTGCTTTAGAAAAGCAGACATGTGCTTGCTTTCTCAAAGCAACAAAATTTGGCTTAGGTGAAGCAAATAAATTTTAGTTACTTGTCAAATAGACACATAATCTTTATAAAATGATTACATTGTAAAAAATATATAAAATATCCAAACTTTAAGGGAGAAAGAAAAAAAATCTTTAAAAATGATATGATCATATTAAACATATTCCCGTAACATCTTTAAAAGCATTCTCACCAAACACAAATATAACTTCCAGTACCTTTAATAATACAGTACAGAAAACAATTTAAGAAACATAAAAACTTACTTTTTTTAACAGCAGCCTTTTAGCGACAACAATTAAAAACAAATTTCTTAAAAATAATTCTTTTTTTTTCCACAGAATTACCAAACAAAGCTAAAATGCTATTTACGCCATATCAATAAATCTAACAATTAAAGAAAGGTAGAATCTCACCACCTGGTCACAAAGCGGTTCTAGTGACAGACTCTGCTCCGTAATTTGTCTTTTGGTCTTTACCACGTTAGTTTTACTCAAACTTGAATAAGTGGATTTTTCATTTGCAACGGCCTGCATGCAACCACAAGTTCAAGACTCTTAGAATCCCATAATAAGTATAAAGAGAACCAAGTTTTCAGCACACAATTTTACCTTTGTGCGTCCTCTCCACCCACAATTTGCTCGAAAACAATTCCACAAAGCTTCAGCACTAAGCATCCAAGGAAAACCAAATTTAAGTTTGTGCTTAGCCATTATAAGCTAAAATTGAAAATTCACGAAAAAAAATTAGCATACATGACATACCCATCATAGGTTATAGAAACAGACAAGCTTACTTCCTTCGATTCACCACCTTTGCACTAACAAAAGGAACATCAGCAAAAGGTCAACAATGAAATACAAACTAGTTACTTTCCCACTCAAAAAAAAAAACAAGGGAAACAGCAAATTAAATTAGCCATTTCAAACCATTGAAAACATATACTGTACAATTTTCGTCTATTATCCCAATATTCAGCAGGATCATTCCTTCAGATGGACTCTTCTGTTATGAGGGTTGAAGTCTCCAGCTAAGAGATACGGAAGGGAGTAGGCTAAACTCTTTAACAGAAAATGTTTGAAATTTTTTTCAAATATCAATTTCCAACAAATGAAGTATCTTTTGTCAAACATTAATATTCTAACACCGAGCTTACTTTCTCTTCCAAACAGAAAATATTATATTTTAAGGACTCACCATAGGGCAAATCATGCGCCTTTCCTTCCCAGGAACGCAATTAGCAGGATCTATGCCAATCTCCTTCAATCTATGACACAAAAACCTCAATCGACGTTCGTGGAGACCCACTAATTCTTCATCTTCTTCGTCAGGATGTACTTAGAAACATACAAAACTTCTACTTGTAAGTCTTCAAAAATGCACATCCACAGATGTAATAGTCAGAAGTACGCTTATCTATACAAACAGTAATACAAGTACATGCGCAAGCATAGTAAAGGCGAATTCTTGTTACTTCAAAAAAAGGGTCATTGGATTAAAACTATACAAGTTCAAGTGTTAAACTTTTTGGTTGGAAGTGTAATAATAATCATATATTGTTATTTAATTAATACAAATTTTAAAAATTAATAAGACTTAAAATATTTCAAAGTTGGAGTAATATTATCATTCACTTATTCTATGCACAAACTCTCCAAAACCAAAATATCTCACTAGCTTTCGCTTTTAAAACATGCTATTACAAAGCAAATAGCTTTTGAACTCTTCATCGGTTAGTTGCCTGCGTCTATAAAAATAAGCCCAACTAAATACCTCACAAGCAAAATAACAACAAAATTAAAAAAAAAAAAAAAACAACCCACTTATAGCAGCAGATGACAGAATACAAAGAAAACAACATCCACAAACAACCAGACATAAGCCTTCAACAAAAGATTTTCCACAATAAATAAAGAAGACCCACATACAAAAATTGGTAAACGAGATAAAAAGACGATAAGACGGAATACCTGGAGTTAAGACGCGTCCACGAGAAATGTAAGAAATGCCATTACTTTTAATGGCAATGGGATGGTTATTGGAGATGGGTTTTGAACAAAAGACCGGCAACAGACGTTTACAGGTGTGGAATAGCTGTCTAGAGGAAGAAGAAGAAGAAGGAGTGAAGGGGATAAAAGCAAGAGAAGTATGAGTTTCGAGAAGTCGATTAGCAGACACAAGAGCAGAAATGTTAGCAGACATGGAGTAGATACTACGGAAATTTCTTTGTTGATTTTGTTGAAGGAAACGCATATCTGATTGTGTTATCTTGAAGTAATCAACCTTCGTCTTCAGTAGGCTTCCATGGCTTGGAAGGGTTTAAGGGTTCTGTCTCTTCTTTAATCTCTCTCTTTTCTCTCTAGCTTATGAAATGGGTCGGGTCGGGTCGGGTTCACCTTTCATCTTTGTCGGGCCTCTGGATGCAAAACAAAATTAAAAATAAAATTACAAAAATATAACTGTAATATTTTAAAAAAAGTATTTATTTTATTCCTAATTTAAAATAATTTTTATTTTTTAAAAATAATAAATTTCATTATATTGTCGACTGATATTTTAATTTTTATATTAAAATATAAAATATTTAAATTATTATTTTTTCATAAAAAATTAGAAATTTGAATCAAATTTTACTTTCACATATTCTTTATTTAAAAATTATTTATATTATATACTGATATTTTACCATTACGATGAACATAAAAATGGAAGAAGAATTCGAGAATGGTGAGGCTGAATACGAAAAACATATTGGATCGAGCAAAACAGGTAATAAGGCTGGGGCTAACTTGCACAGATCAATCAACCAAATATCAAATACAGGGAAGATGTGTATATGTTGTGTAAGTTTGAACCAGTTCATATATTAAAAACAGCATAAATGAGTTCTAAATTCAGTTCTCCATCACCCTTTAATCAGTGAAAACCATGGCCATCTTTGATTTATTAAAATGCAAACTGTCACGAGTCTCATCGCCAATAACTTTGTAGGGTAAACTGATCAGATTTGCTGCACAAGCACGAGTTCGAGTTCAAATTTCAGTTTTGCCGGAAAATTTCTCCAGAAGTAATATGAAAAATGACTTGAGTAAAATCTTTGTTTGCTTTTGTTTAGGAGCAACATTTCCTGTCTAACTCAGGAACTCAAAAGGAAACTGCAATCCAGAATGTTGTTCACAAAATTTACTGTACACTTGCTAGCTGACTGAAGCAATCCGTGTAGATTAAGAAAACAGAATGGCTGGTAGATGACGATACATTCAGAAGCAAATTAGAGTTTACGACTCTGAAATAAATCACCCTGTTTGTCAAATAATACGGGTTTCTGTTCCAAAGGAAAACTGTACTCTACAGCAATTGCATGATACTCGATGGGCAAAACCTTATTTTATAACGCCAGGCCTGTTGCTTTTCACTTTGGATCTGTTCTTTTGAAGTTTCTTTGGCATATCTGTTGTCAAAGCATACATCTTCACCGCAAATAATTCCTCGGGAAATCCCTTCTGATCCTGTCACAGAATAGTTTTGGTAAGGATTGTGATTACGGATTGACTACCATGATCACTTCACAGGTGAGAGCAAATGAACACACAAGCTGACTGAAGTTCATAAAATGTATCATATAGCTGAATAATAGAAACAACCCCCAAACTCTTACAATTTCAATAAGAATACGAAGAGAAACAATATTTCATTAGGGAAGACAGGATTGGGTCTACAATTCGATCTTTTATTTGTAGTATCTTAACATTAATTCCTCCAAAAAAAATTTTTTGCAATAAATAATTAGCCTCTGTTTTCCTTTGTACATGGCACCCTCTTGGGGGCTTGTGGTTCGATCCTGGGATCTTTTACTTTGGAACTATGTGAGATAATTAAACTAGTTGATTCCCCAATTTTGCTATTTATATTTGAGCAAGTCTTCCTGAGTTACATGTCCTGTTATCCTCATTTTCAACAGACTACACTCTTAGTTTTATGCAAAAATAAGATTAAGAAACCACCGAGCTATTTACTGTTGGAGTTTATCCAGATGAAGCAACTCTACAATATGAATCCACCATAAAGATGTGGCCATGCCAGGTATTTATAGTGACATAATTTGATAGAATAAGAACTTGGTACTTGTACAAAACAAACTTTTGGGGCTAGCATAAGATTATGCTGACCTTTGATTTGTAGAGATGTAGACCACAGCGATGAAAGAGCTCCTTAAAATATGCATCGGACCTTGTGATGCTCCGATCTTCTTTGTCTAAAACAAATCCTGCAAACAATACTTTCCATTGAGAAACCAACCCCATATTTCCAAGGATTTCAAAAGAACTTGTTTAAGCAGACGAAGATATTTTCTGGAAGAATACTGATTTCCAAATGAAAAGAACTTGGTGCACATGCTCCTGAGTCTGTACAATCATTTGCACACATAAAAAACTTATCATACAAGGATATTTAAAATTATCAGTTTGTGCCATAAAATGGTTATTACTTAATATATTGTCCAGAAGAGAAAAAAGTACTATGATTTTTAAGTAAGTCTTGACAATAAGAAAGTGAGTTCCTTGGACCATGTGATTTTCTCAGGACTGGTTTCAAAATATATATATATATATTCTTTCCGTATCAGTTCTTATTTCTGCTGCTAGAAAGCCAATTTCATCAAATTTATTTCTTGAGTTCCACTTTTCCGACACTACCAATTGTAATCCCAAATCAAATTCACAGCTTAGTACCTTCTTCAAGAGGAAAAGTAGCGTTGCCCATTCACAAGGCACTAAGCAGAGGCTTCAGATTTTAGTTTATGCTGCCACTTTTTCTTCCATTAGCAGACAATGCACATACAAGATGAGAATTCAATAGCAACACTAAATTCTTATCCTGGAAGGATACTGTAGTTCTATACACCATATTAACTCATATCCTGTAAGGATATTATAGCACCATAAACCATATTTTTACGCATTATTTAGTTATCTACTATTGCCAGCAACAATCCTTCTCATTGATCGACCATTTCAACAATTTGAATGTCTGTAATGAATCTCTCTCCCAAGAATCAGAGAATTGAATAGATGAAGGAAAAGCCACACTGAGTTTTTCAGATACGAGCAAGAGAGATGAACAATAAATCAGAAATATTTGCTCAGGAAAGTAACTCAGACAACTGGTGAAGTGTAACCAGTCGGGTTGTTAGCAGGTTCAAAACAAAAGCATTTGAAGAAACTATACAGGCAGAAGAAGGCAGAAATCAGAACTTAAGCATTGTTAGAGAGATGGAAAGCACAATACCATTTCTTGCAATGTTTTCCTTCAAGATAAAAAAACCACCAGGTTTGAGACCAGCCTGGAATTCATGCACCGGTTGGTTAAAATAAGTTACACAAAAAAAACCCAAAATTGAGTTCCATATTATTAGATCTTGACACGTAAAGGAAACCGTTATGCAACAGAGAAACAGATAGGAAATATAGTATGGTTAGAGGGGTGAAACCTGGCATATTATTAAGAGAGGAAAAGAATCCACAGTGAAAGAACAAAGGCCTCCTATGGAGTGAAGCAAGACCAATTTTTAAAAAATTTTTTTGAGCTAAAAAAGCAAAACCAAAGAATAAAAAATAAAAGAAGAGAAAGGGGATATGTATCAGTATAAGACAGCAATTCCAGTTTCTTTGCATAGTAGTGAAAACCAAACCCTAAAATCCATCTGCCTCATTCAACAGAGGTCAGATGCAAATAATTCTGTCCTAACTACATAACATGTGCAGGGTGAAATTTTTGGGAGAAAAAATATGAAATTAAGGGCTCAATTTGAAGTTCGCTCAACACTTCAAAGCTCCAAGAAGTTCGCTCACTTTGAAGTGCAATTTAACACCCATTCAAATTTCGATACCAGTGAAGGTACCTGAAATTCACAAACTTCTTCATCCCACCAACTGTTTAGATTGGAAGACAAGACTTGCTCCCCACCACCACCACACTCCACTTCTTTAATGTCTAAAAAGCCTTCAAACAAAGCAGAGTCAAGGAGACACTGGGAGTAAAAGGATAGAGTTTGAGAAAATTGTTCAGGAGAGGAAGAGACAACAGACAGTTTCTTCCCTGAATTAGATCCTCTTCAGATTGGATCCACTGTTTTGGGCTTCTTTTAGGTTCTTATAACATATTTCTACTTTTCTGCTTTAGAAAGTCTGGATCTCGCAATTGAATTTGAGCATGTTGCAATGCTTGTCATGGTAAACGGCGAATAACAGCGAATACCATTAGCTAGATCAATTAGAAGGAAAGAAAACTGAACAGTGTTAAAAATTATCAAAGCAAATTACAGATTCTTGAACACTGAAAACTGTGTGAAATGAGGAACATGAAATCAGAAATATGGGAAACTAACTCCAACTTGAGTTCATTTTTGTTCATTATATGAATTGGAAATATAAATATATGCAATGTCCCAGAATCTTTTTCATGATGTTTAACAGATTATCTCAAAAAAATTCTAATACCTTTGCTCTTTTGAAGAAAGATAAAAAATCATCATCAGTGAGATGCCCAATGCACCATTGAACCCATATAACATCATATCTTCCAGCAGCTGGTGTAAATTCCTGAAGAGATGCAAATAAGTTTTACTTGGGAAAATGAATTGAAACCTACGATAAGGAGGGAAAGAAGACCATGCAGGAAAAACGAATGACAGGACATAACTTGAATGGTTTGACACTCAAAGTTAAACAAGCATAACTAAAAGCACATATAAAATCATGTCCCCAAAAGAGAATTCAGTCCTCCTCAATTTGGTTTCCTAATCATATTTATATATATGCCTATGAACTGAAGAAAATCTCATCTTCTAGGTTCAAATTCAAATCTTGTATTATTTCGTTCTGTTTATTCCCAAGCTGACATATATATTTCAGATGAAGCTAGAACCCGACCGCTCAAGACTCCAAGTCTGAAGTTGATAACAAACAGCATCGTTGTATGAGGAACATGCTGAGAACTTTTACCCTTAAATATTTCCTGTTCTCTCTCGTCAGAACTAACCTATTTTTCAGTAACCAAATGAATGTACTCTTCTGACATGGACTATATACATTTAAAGTTTATACATGATACTGCTTGCAGATTACTTTCATTTCAATTTAAAGTCCACAAGTATGTCCTTGTTAATCTTGAAGCATGTTACCTGAAGGGGCAAACAGATGAAGTTCATGGCCTGATGCGTATCAGATGCCATAGGATTTCCAGGAGCCAAATGGTCACGGGCAGCATCCAAGAAATGTGAAACAGGTTCAAGAAGATCAACCTGGATCCGATCAATGAAAACAATCACAATCTAATATATTTTTTGAAAGAAAAAAAATACAATATATAGCTACTAAAGTAAACAATTTCACTCCATGTAAATGGGAGAACTTTCTGATGATGACTCAATTACACCTAGAACAATTAAAATGAAATTGCAGCTCTTGTTACAGTCTTTAATTCATCAATAGTTACAAGAAATTCTCATAATGAGCACACAACATGCCGTACATCCGAGCATAACAACAGAAAATAATGATTATTAACTATCAAGAAACAAAATGATATAATTGAGATGTAAGGTTTAGAAGTACAGAAATGACCTTACCTCATTAAAATATCTTATGAGAAGATTCTTGGTGATTCTCCCAATACCAGAACCACAATCTGCAGAAATTCAACTTAGTGATATCAAAAATCAAATTATTGAACTTCAGAAATTCAATATAGTGAACCCAATGTATACATTGCCGCAGCTAAGAACTAGGAATATCAACAAGATTCACAAACCTTCATTACCAACTAAACTAGAAGAGAAAAATTCACAGTTCGCATACTCAATGTTAAAAATCAAATATTTTTTCCCATACTTGCTAAAAAACATGCATTTATACATGGCCCAACAAGAGAAAACTATAGGTTTAAATTTCTTTAAACTTAACTTGAAGAAACATCAATGCTTATTGGCACTGAGACTGAGATTCAAAAAAAAAAAAAAAATTGCAATAGTGTGAGAAGCATCCTAATTTGAACGTTTTATAGAGAAACTTCCATCTCACAATAAGAAGTTCGGAAATAACTATTAAAAAATATCTTCACTTTGTATCTTTAAATCCATGTTGAAGACAGACCCAAAAGCTTACTCATAAAAATTTGTTATTTCTTTAGCAAAAATGCATAATAGGCCAGAATTATTTCATACCACCCAAACCTAAACTGCAACATCTTCCAAATTACGGCCAAAATCTCAAATTAACCAAATCCCCAATTTGCATGCTAGTTTTTACGTAAGATATTTAAAAGAAGAAGAAGAAGAAGCACCAAGGGAGTATAGGAGGAGGGAATACCAAGAGCAACAAGATGCTGATCTCCTCCACAATCAGTCAATCTTTCATGCAAAAGCGTCTTGAGAAAAGCTTCACTACCCTTTATATCAGCGTCATTCACATGCCCAAACCCGCCCAAGACCCCATCTACCGATGGCTCCACAGCCTATCCTAACCAAAAACAAGCACATAGAAGACTTAGAAGTAGAAACCCATTAAGCAGCCAAGAAAAAGTTGCATCATAGAACTTTCTCGAGCGTCAACCAGTGGATTCGATGGTACTTACTTCCCAATAGGCAACACCATCACTATACCACTGGGTCTTCTTGTTCTCGTCTCCTTCTTCACCAACCTGCTCTCTCCACATCTCTTGTGCGTTCTTAAATTCCTTTCCATCAGAATCCAAGCCACCAACCTCCATCGACCTCGATAGACGAGTCACGATGCGTGAGTTCTCTGCCCGACTCCTCACCGGGTCTCTCAATGGCGGCTCAAGATGGTAACTTTTACAGGGAGGTCGAAGAAATCGGTTTGGACTTTGGAGGGAAATGGACATCCTGCAACTGGGCCGCATACATGTTGGTCAATAAAGCAAACATCTTTTAGATACCCAACACCATCAAATGTGACTTTTTGAATCAAAACGGTATCGTTCATGAGAAATCGAACAAAAATATAGTTTCCTTTTTTTCCCCAATTAAAACCAGTCCTTATAAGATAGAAAAAAACATTTGGTCATGTAACTGGCGAGTCTCTTGTAGCAGAGTATAGAGAAGAAAGCCCCACTAGAGGAAAAGTTCTCCACACTTACATTCTTAGATTTGGCCTTTTCTAGAACTAATTACCTTATAGTCTTTTATTTTCAAATACAGTGAACTCACCTCTATTTATCAAGAAGGATACCACGCCATTGAAATAGTGTGTCCAACTCATTAGTACGAAATGAATATGAAAAAAAATATATGAGCTTTTATTATTATGATAACTTGAGGAGGGATTATCATTGGGTAATTTCACTTTTGCGAGCATTTCCAATGGATGTTGGCATAGTCTTGCTATTAAGATTGGCCTCGATAAGAATTTATTTGTGCAGTAATGCAATATTGTGTTTGTACATGAAGTGTGGTATCATTGAAGATGTGTTTCAAGTCAAATTATTGAGGTTCTTTTTACAAAGTGATTAGAAGGTAAGCAAAGACAGGTCAATTTTTCTATACACTGAATATTTTTCAATTAATGCACTGAAATAAAGTTCAGATTTATTTAATTATTACGTGTTTGAAGTCTTTCGGATAAAAACGAAAGTGGAGAATGTGATTTTCAATGAGTACAAAAATGATAGTTTTTCGGTATTCATTATGGTAAGCAAAACAATAATTTTAGAAAAGAACTTCAGAAATATATGACAAATGATAAAAGTAATTTAGACTATCAAAAGGTTTTTAGTTTATTAGCAAGGAAACATCTTGAAACAATCAAACAAACAAGCAATTAATCTTCATCCTTAACTTCAAAAGTTTATATATACTTACATCAAATTAGTAGGTACAAAAATTGACAGAAGAAAGAATTCATGTTGGGTCTTCAATGAGAACTTAACAACTAGGAGAGAATAGGAGAGATATCTATAGAGAATCATGCGAGTAGGACGAGAAAAAAAGTAGTGTCATCATTTACACTATGATGAAATATGAGTTTAACATAAAAATCTTACTTTTATCTATCCTATGATAGATGGTTGAGGAAATTGAGTATTCTTTGTCCCTCCCTAATGATGGCATAAGAAAAAAGAGCAGTCAAGGGGATATGTACAATTACCGACAATACCAAATACACTTCTTGATGTGAAAGTTAAATTCATTTAAAAAAGTATCAAAGTGGTGTTATCCATGAACGATAGATGGTCAGTTGCAAGCAAAAACACCATCAAAGATAAAAGTTCTTCTTGATCTTCAAAATAATGATTATTGAACTAATGAACAAGTATAAGAATATTGAAGGTGATTTTACTCATCAAGTTTAGATGCTATTTATAACATTACAATGTAGAGTCCTACTCTAATGAGTGTACAGATTTCTAGTCTAAAAAGATTTATGTTGTATACTCCTAATGGTCCAAAAATTACAAAGTTTTGTGATACATTCAAATTAAAATATATATTAAGTTTTATCCAGATAGATCATAAAGTGGATAAGCCACCTTTAAGGATAGTTAAAAATGATGATCTTCTTCTTTTCTCTTCACTCTCTTTGGATATAAAGAATAACAATGAGCCCAACTTAGCTTGTATCCAAGAATTAAACGTCTGTGTAGCTAGAAAATTGGACTCTACCCACCCATATGTCTGCTGGAAAATATGCCTTAGTACTATCAAATATTCTCATCCACTACATGTGTCAAGCATTTAGCTTTTTTCTTCAATCCAGCTGGAACCTGGATATTTAAGAACCTGTTTACTGCTCATGAGTTCTCTAACAGCCGCTGCTTCATCCCACCTTCCTAAAGAGTTATAGATATTGGCTAAAAGCACATAAGGGAGAGAGTTTTGTGGATCCAGGCAAAACAGTTCCTTTGCTGCTCGTTTAGCTAAGTTCACGTTGGCATGAACTCTGCAAGAACTAAGCAAAACTTCCCATATGATGGGATCATCTTTATATGGCATCTTTTCTATAAGCATTTCTGCTTCGAGAAATCGGTTGGCCCTGCCAAGGGAATCAATGACACAAGTATAATGATCCAATTGTGGCTCTAGTCCATGGACTCTCTGCATTGAATTAAATATTTCAAGACCCAAATTGACCAATCCTGAATGACTACAAGCACCCAGAACAGAAACAAAGGTTATGCTATCTGGTTTTTCACCCGATTCAATCATGCATTTATAGAGATGAACTGCCTCTCTTGCACGTCCATTTTGGGCATGCCCGTGTATGATCTCATTCCATGTAACAGTACTTTTAGCAGACATCATATTAAAGAATTTAATTGCCTCATCTACATCACCCCAGTTACAGTACATATTAATAAGAGCACTTCCCACAAAGACATCATTCTGATATCCAACTTTTGCTGCCAGAGCATGAACCTGTCGTCCTTGAAATGGAGAATATAATTTTGTGCAAGCACTAAGTATACTTGCATAAGAAAACTGGGAAGGAAGAATACCATTTTGACGCATCTGGCTAAAAAGAAGGAAAGCTTCTTTCTCCAATGAATTGTGAGAAAAGCCTGCAATCATAGAGTTCCAACAGACAATATCCACTTCAGGAATGTTATAAAATATACACTCAGCCATCTCTTTCTTCCCACATTTCGCATACATGCTAATAAGTCCACTAGCGACATATTTGTTGGTATGAAAAGCACACTTTAGCGCTGCAGCATGGACTTGTTTTCCAGCATCCAGAAGCCCCATTCCAGCACATGAGCTGAGAGTAACAGCCAATGTAGTTCGATCAGGTTGCACAAACTTAAATTGCATTTCCTTAAAAATCTTTATGACTTCCTTGTGGTTTTCATTATGTGAATATGCTGAGAGTAAAGCGTTCCAAGAAGTCACAGTTGGGGCTGATATTCGATCAAACATTCTTCGTCCAGTCTCAATATCCCCAGACTTAACACATGCTGCAAGCATATTAATACAAGTGACCTCATTTGGCTCAAAACCACAACGCCGCATTCCTTGCAGATATTCCAGAGCTTTGTCCCTCTGATTTTTTTGACCATATCCAGCTATCATAATATTCCAAGAAACAGTGTTAATTTCAGGCAAAGTAGCAAAAAGCAATTCTGCACTATCCATGTCTCCATTCTTTGCATACATATCAAGTAATGAATTGTTTAAGTGAAGATCTCTTTCAAATCCAAGTTTAATTGCAATGCCATGAATTTGTTCACCAGGAGCATTACTCAAAAACCCATCACTTGGATCGTCATAAAACTCACATTCATCACTTACTCTTCCACCCAAAACACTTAAAAGACTAGATAATGAAACAGAATCAATCCGAATCCCTTTCATACACATCATTTTAAACATATCTCGTGCCTCCAAAAACCAACCCGTCTTTGCTAACCCACCCATCATTGTGGTAAAAGTTACCTCACTGGTATCAGGCATGTTCCAAAAGACTCGAAGTGCATCCTTAATGGACTCACACTTGGTGTAGAAGCATAATAATGCATTACCAACAACTAAATCCTCATCAAGACCAATCTTAACAGCGAGACCATGACACCTCCTACCGCGCTCATTATCCAACAACTGTCCACACGCACTGAAAATGCTGGGAAAAGTGAAATGGGTAGGCAAAAATCCCTCCGAAATCATCGTATCATAAACGGTCAATGCTTTTTGCATATAACCACTTCGTACTAACGAGCTGATCACACTGTTCCAAGAAACTGCATCCTTGCTAGGCATTTTATCAAACACCTGGTAAGCAGCAGTAACGTCATCGCATTTAGCGTAGAATGCAATGAGGCGATTGCAAAGAAAGGTGTTCGGGAAGAGGCAAAAACGAAGAATGTGAGCATGGAGTATTTTCCCTGCTAGTGGGGCTTTCTTCTGTATGCTATCCTGCAGGAGACTTGCTAGGTTCATTACTGTTTTCCCTTCCATGTTGTAAATCCGCATGCAGCTTCATCTTGAAAAGAAAAACAGTATTTCATTTCCTTGCTTTTTCATGGAAACTACACCAACTACCATTTTGATAAGAAAAGCGACCGGTCATGGTGGGCATCTAAAAGATGTTTGCTTTATGGATCCAGCCTGGTCGGAAGATGTTCGTTTCCAACTGGGACTTGGCGCTGATGAAACTCCATTAAGTTCTTGGTTCTGATGAAGAGGAACCAGACCGAGAAGACTCAGTGGTACAGAGACGACGTTGCCTATTGGGAAGTAAGTAGTACCACCGAGTCCCCTGTTTGGTTCTCGGGAAAATATTTATGATGCAATGTTTTCTTAGCTACTTAATGGGTATTTTACTTGCTGGTAAATTGGGTATTGGGCTGTTTTGGTTTGTGAATTTGCACGAATGATTCACTGATTCTCTGTACATTTTCCTTTGTTCTCTGAACAGAATAATTACAGGTTTAATTTGGAAAATGCACACATATTATTTGGTCTTATATCTTTTTTGTTTAACATCTTCGTTTCTCAAGTTTCAAATATTAGAAAATTATTTATAAAAATTCATAAAAGCTAATATAATATACTGTGCAATAAGTTAATTATATATATAGGCATATATATAATTTCCAAAAGAGGAGCAAAAAAGAAACTGAGTGAGAATCAATGGTTAGATTAGCTGTAAAACAACAGGACTAACAAGTCGTTAGCTCCTTTAACATGTTAAAGGATACTAACAGAGATCTATCTCCTAGTAAGAAACACAGAATTACAACATCAGATTACATATTTTAAGAAAAGAAAAAGCTCCAATGTTAATCATTCATGGCTGCTACATGTTGGATTTTGCAGCACCTTATCGATTTCGTCGTTGATGGTATCCATTTTTCGGATGTGATGATCATCTGATAAGGCCTCGACAAGTTTTCTTGGAACCAAACACTTATCTTTCCAGTATAACTTCTCATGAATTGTTGGAGATGAAAGCAGAACTTGAAGCTCTTTTCCATGCTTTAATTCCTCCTGCATCATCACCATCATCATCGTCACCATCATCAATAATTATTTATATACTTATATATCCTAAGCTTGCATGATCGTTACCTGAGGAAGTGAAGACAGGAGTTGAAGCACACCAACTTGGGCCTGCAAGTATTTTACATACTTGGAAGCAGCTTGAAACATCTCAGCAGTGTTCATCTTGTGACCACCAGGAATCAGCTTAGCAAGCTTCTGTGTCTTCTCAGTTATCTTCCTTCTTCTCTCACGAGCAGCAATGCTCTGGGCAGACAAACTCACTCCATTACCTGCTTTCTTCACGTTCTGATCGTCATCATCATCATCACCACCAACCACTTTCCCAGTATCAAAAAAAGAAGGTACTGCAGGAACCTGAAGATCCATCAATGGTGGGGGAGGTGGAAGTTCATGCAGGGAGAAAAGTTCTGGGAGTGGTACTGAACTGGGATTTGGCACATACCCGTTAAAGAAATCACTTGGCTGCTCCACATGAGGCTGGTAGTAATTTGTGTGGATGGTCCTCTGGCGCTTTGGGTATTGAAAGGAGCACTCAAGTTCCAAAATTTCAGGTGGGAAGGAGGACTGGTGTGAGTAATGAAAAGGGTCATCTGGTAGAAATGGGTCAATGAAATTACAAGAACCCAGATGAGAAAATGATGAATGAGTGCAGTCAGAAGCAAGAAGATCATCTGGTGGAAGCTGAAAGTCCTGAAATGGAACCTGCTGAAAGCCAGTCATGGCCGTGT